AAGCTGTAGAAGTGCAGCTGAAACTAGATTACTGTTGTTGATTTTAGTCTCAATGTCTGTATCTAGTGGTTGCTCCTCAGCGTTTTGAGTATCAACTCCCAGAAGGCACCTGAAGTTTCCTTTTCAGATATGCCCCATTCTGCCATTTTCATTTTTATTTATGAGAATTTATATCCTTGCAGAAGATTACATATCAAATTTTAAAAACTCAGTTTTAGCTAGTTTAATTTTTATTCTACTGCATAGCTTTCTTTTTTATTAAAAAGCCTGAAAATTGTGAGCTTCAGAAGGGAAAGAATTGCAAAAATTAAGTAACTATTACCACTTCAACTGATTTATGTAGTATGCAATCAGTGTTATCTGTTTCCAAAGTAGATGCATAGTTCTTATGCTTACTGTAGAGATGACCCACTTTTAGTCTATTGAAAGCATATTCCTCTCCTAATAAATGTTGCTGTCATTCTCACTATAAAAACAGCAACAGCAAACAAAATAGCTTCTAGCAATTAACTCTGACTTTTTTCTTGGTGGTACTAGGGTTTGAACTCAGGGCCTCACACTTGCTAGGCAGGAAATCTTACTGCTTGAGTCATTCTACCAGTCCTTTTTTGCAGTGGGTTTTTAAAAGATAGGGTCTCCAGAACTACTTGCCCAGGGCTGGCTTCAAACTCCAATCCTTCTGATCTCTGCCTCCTAAGCAGCTGCTTCCTGTCACTAGCACCCAACAACTCTGACTTCTTTTAAAAAATTTATTTTATCAGTTTTACATTTACTTACATATGTATACATTATTTCGGCCACCACCCACTCCCTGAACTCTGACATTCTTAAACCAGAGTTTTCATTGTGATATTAAGGCTAACAACGTATGAAGTCATAAGCACATGAATTTATATATTCCATTTAAAGAAAAACGCACTTTGGATTCTGATTAACAGGAGCTAGGAGGGGCTTGTGGAATGGCTCAAGTGGAAGAGCATCTGCCTAGTAATCGTGAGACTCTGAGGTCAAGTGCTCATATTGCCACAAAAGAAAAAAAGAGAAAAATAAAACGGACCTAGGAGGATGAATCTGCCTGGGACAGTCAAAGGGATCACAAAAATTAACTGGACATTTCCTTTTGACTAATTTGACTACTTGTCAAAAATTATAATGACATTTATCAGAGTAGTAGAAAATTATGAGTGTAGCTAAATGTCCATTAAAATTCCTTCCCAAGAAGCTCAAAGTTTTCTTCCAATGTAGTTTTTTAAAAGGTTTTAATTTTCAGTTCAAGGAATTGTGATTTTGGAAAGTATTCATTCAGTTTAAGAAATTTGAGAGATGATTTCAGTCATCTGTATTGAAGCATGCCTCTTATTAAACTTAGCCTAAAATGTTCCTTTGGGTATAATTTCACAAACTAAACGTGTAGGCCAGTAGTTGGTGGGCTGCTCACCCTGAATATTTTTTTAACATATTGATCAATGATTAAAATGTTAGATTATTTTTATTTAGGGTCAGGACACAAAAATTTAGGCATTTTGAAAGATGTCTTTGTTTCCATCTGTTTCATGTTTGATATATTTTGATTATCTACTCTTTTTAAAACTTCAAACATAAAATGTACCTTTAAATTATTGAGTGTTTTATCTATCCATCCCAGTATGTGACACACTCTCTTCTAAATAAATGTGTGTAGACTTTATATACATTGAGCTGGGTAGCTTGAAATGCTTTAGGGAGAAACTATTTGAATGATAAAGAAGGTATTCCCTTTACTTTTTTTCTCTATTATATTTTTCTGTTTCTTGTCTCAGCTACAAGTTTATTTGTGGCTTGTTGCTCAGATGTTAGGATTTTGGCATTTGTCTGGAACATTTTGCCGTTTATAGCTGTTTGAGAATTTTTGTCAACTGACTTTCTAAGAGACATATGCAACCAACACACGCCAGCTGGGCTTCTGTTTTTCCTTTTTCTGTTTAAATGCAGGGAGACAGAGGAGGTCCCCAGTCCCTCAAGCTTATTTCTTGATCGCTTAATAGGACTTTAAGGTGAAAGCATTTTGTGAAAACTTAAGTTCATATATAAAAGCATAATGAATATTACATGAGATAGGTGTCTCTCTGTGCTATTAACTTTTTGTAGCAAAATACTAATATGAAATGTTTAAACCACTGAGAAATAGTTCATTCAAATAATTAACTTTAAATCCTTCCTTATATCTTTTCAGTTTTTAAATTGTGCATTGGCTTTTGATTCTAATGTCCTTTCTGACTTTTCTGGTTTGTATTAAGTTCTTACCACACTGCAGAACATACCAACCTTCCCTAAATTTGGGTTTATCTGATTTTACATCTGACTAAATTTTGGTTGTATATTTTTGGCAGATAATGCTCAGTGCATCCTATCAGAAAGTATGTGACACTAATGTTTTATTACTGGTAATAAGTTCATTTATTTGATTGAAGATTTTGTCTCCACTGTAAAGTTACTGCTTTCTCCTGTGTAATTAATAAATAACAAAATACCTTTGTAATTAACAAGTATCTTATGGGGAGTTGCTTTGATAATAAATTATTTCTTAACAGAATTGTAGCTATTCGCTGAAAAGATAAGACTATGTCACAAACCCTGGCTGCTCATGCTGTAATTGCTATTAAGGAACACAGCCACTTGCAATCTACTATAGTAGAAACTTTAAGTATTTCATCTGCTGAGTCATAAGTACAAGGTGGCACTCGTGCTCTTAATACATTCTGGAGTAGCTGCAGAGCTCTCTCTGATTCTGGGTTCAATTTTAAGCAGGCAGCTTAACAGTTACTCAGCAAGGTCAGAGATGGATGCCAAAAGATAACATATGTTGCTTCCAAAATCAAAAGAGGCTCATCAAGTTTTCCTTTTTCTTGTTGGTAAAGAATGGAAGAGGACAATAGTAGACATTTTCCACTTTCTTGGGAATATGCTAACATTCCCTAGCCTTCTAGATCCCCTCAAACTTCACTGAGGAGGGAGCTCCTTAATTTTATTTTTTGCAGTGCTGGAAATCAAATGCAAGACATCATGTATGCTAGACAAGCCCTCTACCAGCTCCTTAAATGTTTGTGGGGCTCACTCTTTTTTCTGGCATACATGTTGTTTACCAGGGCATTTAGGGTATATGTTACTTGAAGTGACAATAGCATGAGCTCACTGATGTCATGGGAAATGTGATGTCCTAGAGATGATGAGATAATCAGAATCTTTTAGAACTCTCAAAAGGAGGAGGAGTACCCTAACATTTGTGGTACCTGAGGTAAGAATAAAAATGGAGACTTATCTTCCCAAGTCTTTTGTGCTTTCTGTCTAGATTATTATAAAGAATTGGTAGCATCTCAGTCTTATTTAATTTTGGTGACCACTGAATCCAAGGTCAGCTGACCAAAAGAACTGTTAGAACCAATGATGGTAAAAACCTTGAATAATGAATTCAGAATCTCTGGCAAATGCATCTAAATTTAGCCCAACCTAACGATTTATTCTTTCTTTCTGGTCTAGTAGACTAACAACTAATTTGCTGAGTGTACAAGAACTTTTCAATATTTTTTAATCTTATCTGTTTTATCAGTATATATTAATTATACAAACTAATGGGCTTCACTGTGAAATTTTTGTACATGTATATAAGGTACTTTTATCATACTTTCTCCCCTATTACCCACATTTATCTCTCTCTTCTCTCCTGCTGGTCCTCTTCCTATTCTCTAGTATTTTTTTTCACAATTCCATTTCCAAACACAGTATTTCCCGTTTTAAAAAGGTATTTACATATACTACTACTTTTAAATACATCAAACAATTCTAAATATCTAGGATTAGACATTTCATATGTGAACTTGTCTGTTATGCACACAGCACTGGTAAATAAAATTGCACACATAGCAGTGATTACAATCTGAGGTATCTTCTAAATGTGACCATTTTGGCCTTAAACCATTCCCTCTTCACTTCCTTCTTTCTACCTTCAAACCAGTGGACAAGCACAGGAATAATATGGAATGTTTAGAGATTGCTAAACAAATTCATACCTAAAAGTCATTTATAGAGGACAAGCTTTCCTATGAATTTCAACACAAAGTGTACAAAATGTGCTAATTTTACTAACTACTTTGTCATACACTGGTAACCTCTTTAACATATAGAGATTAGATGCTGCAAAATTTGGACTTTTTACCATTATATACACTATATACACAGCAAAACAAAATACATAAAACATACAGAAAAAATGGCATTTGAAAATGTCCAAGTATGAACACACTATCTTTTGCAATTGCTTCTCTCTCACCTCCTCCAAACCCAGTGAACAAAAAGACAGTACCTACAAAACTGCTGGGAGGTGGTTTCACAATTCCATTCCCCAAAGGCAGTATTTCATATGAATTTTTGCAAAAAAGCTATTTACAAAGCATTATTTTATTACATCTACATTTAACATACGTTGAGCACTTCTAAACATCTAGATAGACTAGATGTTTCACGTAAGGACTCTATTTGTCCACTATATACACAGCAGTCCTAAATGACTGCACACATCTAACAAGTTATCATTTAAAAGTATCTTCGAAATATGAGCATTGTGCCCTACAACCTTTCTCCACCAACCCAGGGGGCTGTTACGTTCAGATCTTCTAAAGACCTTTTTAGCACAAAATGTAAAAACCTGTTAGTTTACTAACTCTGGTTTGGTCATGCACCAGCAGTCTCTTTAACAGCTAGAAAGACTAGATGGACATTACGACTCGTTTGTGCTTTATATACACTATGTACACAGCAAGCGGAAGGAAATGAGAGAACATGTTGCCTCTTTCTCGCTCCATGCAAACTGGCTTTGCTCTTGGCAACCATGGCCGAACGGAAAAATGAGGGAAAAACTGAGGCACTTAAGGACAGAAAAGGAGAGACGCTGAGGAAGAGGCTGCAGCCTTCACAAGCAGCAGGCCTTTACTTGGGAAGAAAGACCCGAGAGGAGCCCTCGGCCGTCAGAGTAGCTCTGAGAGAGGAGAGCACGTTTTTCTCACAGGCTGGGATTTTAAGCATCGCAGGGCGGGAAAGGGAGAGGTCAGAAAGGGTGGCGTGGCTGGAGAGGAGGACAGCGGGGACGTGCTGGACATTGGCAGGAAGGCCATCAGCGCCGGGCACTTTTGCGTGTTGTTTTTCCAGATCTGCGCGGCTCCATGGCCTAAAGTGACGTAGTGCTGCGTAGATTGCCTTCTCCAGGCCTCCGCGGCGCTGGGGCGGCCGCCATTTTTCTCGCCGCGCAACGTCACGGTACATCCGCCTCTACCCGGAGGAGCCACGTCCTCGGTGGCCTGGCGGGGGGGCTTCGCGTAGGCCCGGCAGGGTTGGGCCGGGAGACCCAGCGGCCAGCAGGATCCAGGCTCTGAGTGAGGAGGGGACGGGTTCGCCCCGCTTCCAGGCTGGGCCCGGGCAGTGCGCAGGCGCAGCGAGGGCTCCGGGTCTGCAGACCGGAAGCCGGGCCTGTTCCCGGGACTCCCAGCTCACCCCGCGGCCGCTCTCCCCGCCAGACCCTGCTGGGCCACTGGGCTCCTCGCTATGGTCTCTGCGGAAACTGACTAATATTAGTCCTAATATTTTTGCTTCTACTTTCATGTCTTTTTTCTTTTAGAGTCGACATATACAAGGAAACATGATACTTGTCTTTCTGAGTCTGGCTTATTTATCTTGAACATAATGATCTTCAGTTTCATCCATTTTCCTGCAAACCACATGATTCCATTCTTTTTGTTTTTTGTGTTTTTGGCGGCACTGGAGTTTGAACTCAGGGCCTCATGCTTGCTCGGCAGGCGCTGTTATTGCTTGAGACACTCTGCCAGCCTTTTTTTTTTTTGTGGTTAGGTCTAAAATAGGCACTAGGCAAATAGTTTTATTTGCCCCAGGCTGACTTCAATCCATGATCTGCCTGCTCTCTGCCTCCTGAGTAGCTAGAATTACAGGCGTGAGCCACCTGCGCCTGGCTAATTCCATTCTTCATTATGGCTGAATATTGTGTATATCTACTCTAAGGAAATATAGGCCCCAAAAGTGACCACGTGGAGAGGAGTGATCTGGCCAAGAGATTCTTTATTGCCGGGTGGGAGAGGGAGAGAGCCAAGGGAGCAGAGAGAGAGAGAGAGAAAGAGAGAGAGAGGCAGGGGCTTAAATACCCCTCAGTGGGACCCAGCATGATCTGATTGGTTAGGATCTTATGGTTCATGCTGATTGGAGGTTGGGGCAGAAGAGATTCAAGCTAGACTTGAGGCAGGACTGTGACCCTGGGAGGCAGGACTGTGACCCTGGAAAACAGAAGCTTAAGGGTGCAGTAAGAACTGAAACCTATTGGCGCCATTATTGCCAACATCTACCACATTGTCTTTATCCATCCATCTATTGATGGGAACCTAAGATGATTCTATGAGTCGGTTATTGTGAATACTGCCAAAATAAACATGGGTATTCAGGGATCTCTACTGCATTCTGCCTTTGATTCCTTTGGGCATGATATAGCTGGATAATATGCAGCCTCTCTACTGATTTCCACAGTGGCTACATTAATGTGCATTCCTACCAAAGCTGTATAAGGGTTCCTTTCCCTGCTCCTCATCCTTACCAGTATTTGTTGTTTTTTTGTTTTCTTGGTGAAAGGCATTCTGAATAAAGTGAGCTCGAATGTCAATGTAGTTGTGATTTGTATTTCCCTTATGGCTACACTTTTAAAAATCTATTTATTGGTCTTTTGTATTTCTTCTTAAACACATTCCTAAGGTTTTTGTGACATGATCAGTAAATTCTTGCAATTCTTTGAGTTTGTATGTCTTCTAAATTGGAACAGGCTTGGTGTTTGTTCCCCCCAAACATGCTAAAATAGGACTCTAATTATAGGTGTAGAGGCTGAGAGTTGGCAGGTAAAATGCACAAGAAAATTAAGATCCTTTTGCAAGATAACTGTCTCAGTTGAGGTCATTACAGAGTACTTATGCAAGGTGGGACAGTCTCATTAGAAAGAAGGTGAATTTGCTTCTGCTGGAAAAAAGTTTAGAGATTCAAGTTGCAATTAGATCTGAATTAGACTAGCTGTCCACATTCCAATTCTAAGGACACTACTCTTTCTCAGTCAGTGCTCTGTTATTTTAATTTAAAAAAACCCCACAGTGTTAGTGAATTCAACATTTGTAATTATTTATTAACCAAAGGATCAAACTTTGTGTCTGAGTTTTATTTATGTGAGCAACGCAGCTAGCTCTAGGACAGAGGAGATTGTTTTAGAGCAATTGTAAAACTATTTGGTCTTCAGATTATGTACTGACCTGAGAATTTGGAAAGCCTTGAATTTGTTATTTAGTCAGTAGCCACCTCCAACTTAGATATTCCTCATTCTCATTATAATGGTTTATCACAGCAGCCACTTTTCTTGCTAGGGACTTACTTTTTTTGGGAGATACTGGAGTTTGAGCTCAGGGCCTCACACTTACTAGCCAGGCACTCTACCATTTAAGCTACTCCTCTAGCCAAAGACTTACTTTTAATAAGTAATCTATTCCAGGTAAATATCTGAGTAAGTGTTTTGTTATTGCTTGCAGGGACTTAGTGTCTTAAGGGTATGAAATGATCATTGTTTTTACATCAATCCAGATCATACAATATAATGTAAATTTCATTTGAGTATCTGTTGCCTGCAACCTCTTCTGGTACAAAATACATTTTCTGAGCATGTAATAGAAGCAACTATAGATAGCTTAACCAGAAAAGTGATTAATATAGGTAATTAGGTGTTAACAACATCATTGAAATGTGTGGGCACATGAAATTTGGAATTATTGATTTCCAAGAACATATTGCCAGGAGTTGGTAGCTCACTTCTGCTGTTGTTATTACCTCTCAAAACTCAAACAGTTGTCCCAAATACCTGACCACCTTATCTGACTGTTGCTCCTGATGACACAGAATGATGAGTATTCCTTTTATGGCTACCTCCCAATACATATTTTCAGAATCTTGCTGCCAAGAGACACAAACAAATGTAGCAGTAAAAGAGATGCTACTGATGCCTCTGCTGCATCTCGTTGGCCTATCTCAGAAACATTTTCAATGAAAATGTTTCACAAGCTGATTGCTTCTCATTTCAATCACTTTTGTGTCTCTGCTTCTCTGCCAAAGATTTATCTCTGATGCTGTAGGAGCTTTCACTGCCATGCACAAAGCAAACTATAATTTCTTGAGATTCAACACCCCTAAAGTTAACCCTCAATGAAGGATTTAAGTTGGATATAAATGTACTAATTTTCTCATCCTTTGATAGGACAATTCAGAAACATGTGCTAAACAATTCCTTAGAGGGCCTGCAAACAAAATTGAGGCCTGTGTACCTACAAATGTAATCTGGTTATTAAAATAATGATTTATACTGTATTAATTTTCTTCCTTCCCTTTCTCAGTTTCCCCCATTTCCTCACCTGTGCTTCTTCTTCTTCTTCTTCTTCTTCTTCTTCTTTCTTCTTCTTCTTCTTCTTCTTCTTTTCTTCTTTTTGCAATACTGGGGCTTGAACTCAAGGCCTACACCTTGAGTCACTTAACCAGCCCTTTTTTGTGAAGTTTTTTTTTTTTGAGATAGGCTAGCTTCATACAGTGATCCTCCTGATCTCTGCCTCCAGAGTAGCTAGGATTACAAGAATGAGACACTGGTGCTCAGCTTTCACCTGTGCTTCTTGAGCTCACAATTCAAGCATTAACTGAACCAAAGTCCTTGACTCAGTGTCAGCTTTTGGAAGAAACAAAGATAGTGACCTTTTTCTTGCTGATCATATGGCAACAATCCACCACTGTCATGCAATAGACTCTTACCCATGGAAGATTGAAATGAACAACAGGTGTAAGAAGAACTACTGGCTTATACAATAGCTTCAATGCATGAAACAAATGGGAAAAATACATTTAAGAGGAATGTGAAGTTGGCTTCTTGTTTACCGACCTTACTCTCTGAGTAAGTAGAATGATAAAGTCAAGGCAACCATCTTGCCTGGTAATATGTACCAGAAGGAACAGGGGATCTTGTGTGGGAATGAATATTAAAGGGAAATCAATTTAGGGAACACTGGGACAGTCAAAAAGCCTTCCTTGAAAACAATTAAGACAACATTTATTTCCTATAGCTGGAGAGATATATGTGCTGAAAACCAGAGCCAATATTAGAATGTATGAGAGCTACAAAGAATACTGAAAGCAGAGCCCTGGAAAGTCTTTTGTGTAAAGGTCACTTTCTCCAATTCCTTAGTGCATGATTGGAATGCACATACTTACTAATCACCAGAAACTTCATATTAGTTCTCTGACTTATGGAGTAAAAACAAAGACAAATCTCCTGAAATTGTTCTTTCTCCAATTTATGAGAGTAAAATCAGAGTATTACAACTTACACATTCTGGAAGCGCAGAGACTTAAAGGATGCAGGGTAGTGATTCTCACCATATCCGTATTCAACTCACCTGCATGATCTTTACAGAAGCAATAGATTATTGAAAATGATTGAACTGAAGGAAGTCCAGAGTGTACAAGTAAGTTACAGGAGCAGACCACACTCCCTTGTCACCTCTCTCCATTGCACTGATACCTCTGTCTCCAACTTACTTCTATGGTTTTGTGGGGAGGAAGTTCATGATAACCATTAACAAAGGAGTAAAACTTGAGCCTAGTTCATGGGTGCATTTGTTAATATATTGTATGTAAGCTAGAAATTGCCTGCTGGTACACTGTCAGTACTAGAGACAGTAGTGAGGGGACACTTTTCTAGTGGACAGGGCTTTAGATGCACACTTGGGTACCTTTGTGCGAGGGATAATTTATTTGAGATAAGAATAGATACATGGTAAAGCTGGGTGTAGTAGTCATGTCTATAATCCCAACTACTTGGGAGAAAGAGGCAGGAGGATCATAAGTTCAAGGCCAACTTGGGCAAATTTTCCATATTCTATCTCAAAAACAAAATAGAGACAAAAGGGCTAGGATGTACCTCAAGTGGTAGAGTGCTTTCCTAGCAAGTTCAAGGCCTTGGGTTCAATCCCAGTTCTACAGGAAAACAAAACAAATATATACATGATATTGGCTAGTAGCTTACAGGGATGATAAGGAGTCTGAATAAAAAAAATTAGATCAGTGACAACAAGATCTAGGAGAAAATTATATGAGCATTAAATGTTTCTTTCTTGTGTCAATGCCCACCACCTCAGAGAAGGAACTGAATAACTGGATGGATGGTTTGATCACCTATTGGAGTTTTGACAACTTTGTCCTCAGCTATCCTAGTACTTGCAATGGACCCATAAATGGATATTTCATAAGGAAGAAATGGAGGTATGTATAATAGCTAGTATCAAGGGTTCCCTCTCACCAAACCTGATATAGCTTTGACTCCTAAATTCACCCAAGTGGAATCTCAGACCAACACTGAAGTGATGGATATTATAC